GTTGGGCAGCTTCACGAAATACAAATCGTTACCCAAATCTGTGTTCACTTTTGGTATTTCTACCTCTATTCTTGTCTCTGGAATAGGCTCTTCCTCCTGCTGTTCTTGGCTCAGCCCATTCTCATCCTAATGGCAAAGAAGCACAATAGGAGCAAAAATATCAGTCTGACTGTTCCTGGAATAAGTGCTTCCATTCTGACTGAGAAAAATTCCGCTGGTATGTAGAGAAAGATCAAGAAGCTTCTCATAAATGCACTTGAACCTTTCCAGTAAAACCAATCCATTTCAAAACCAAAAGCCATTTCAAATACCAGTGGGAACTCGAGAAAACAAAGACAGAAAGGAAATAGCAAGAGAGCTGACACACAGTTTTCAGCAAGGAATGAAAAAATAAGCATGGGATAAGATTAAATTCTTTAGTATCTTCAAGGCTCAAAATGAAAATATTTGTCAAACAGCTGTAAGTAGGGTACCAAGAAGACCTACGAATTTGTATTTCTCTTGATGACAATCAAAATGTAATCAGTGTATTCCTTTTTCCAAATGGAAGAAGTGGAGCAGGGCTGGGGGAGGGCATGTCGACATATCTAATATTGCTGCGCCTAAAGCTCCAATCATTATTTTAGCTAGGGCAAAATGATCTGTAGATTCTTATTTAGCGCTGTTAAAACTTTCTCCATTAAAATATTATCTAACCCCATTGACGTTCCAGATCTCAAAGTGGAATAGTGGTTTCATTACTTCAAAAAGTCTACTCACAATGGGCTGTCCTGGAGTTGGTGGCTTGTCTTCTCCGTCGCTCCCTGAAGAAATGTCATCTGCTCCTCCAAACAGGTCCATGACATCTGCGTGTTCTGGAGGAGAAAAATTACTGTTATGAAATACACATATATGCAAACATACATGCCCCTTCATCAAACAAAACACAGAAAAAACAATCCTTCACTTTTATCACCACTTAAAATCACCTACAAAGTTTAAGAATCTCTAATTGTTATGAAGCACAGATTATTCCCTTATTCCGTAAAAAACGAAAGATCCCCCTTGTTTTGAAGCTGGAGAGTCAGTGCTTCCCTGGAAAGGCTCTATTATGGAGAATCCAGGTGAAAAGTGGCAATAGACAAACCAAGAGTTAAAGTTCATCTTTTACTCAAGTAAACAGTTTAAATATACATGACAAGCAACCTCACTGCAAACTTTGGAAGTTTTACTTCTCATTAAAAGCAACATCTTCTCTTGATCAGCAAAATATCAGTGTTTCTCAGGCTCCTGTGATAAGATGCACCATGAGCTTTGACAATGGGGTGTGAACCAACACTCACAAGAGAAAAGCTCTGTCACTTGTGGAGAAAACTGAGAGATGACAAAACTAAAGTGAAATCACCAGGAGAAATACAGCGTGTGCTTCCTCACACAGCACCTTTTCTGTGCCGCTCTGCCGCGCCCATGGCACTGCAGCTACATCACAATGTGAGTGCTATTGACTGTACCAAGTAGCACAGCAGATAAATCATGGATTAAAAGACAAATGAACCAAAAGCCAAGAAACCAATCCCACCTTTACCTTTCTGGCCTTCTGTATCACTGTCCACCTCTGAATCTGATGCAATCGGTTTCTTTCGCTTCATTCGCAAGACTTCATCTTCACTATCGCTGCCTCTCGCAGACTCTCCTAAGAAGCATAATTATTCTCAGCAGACTAAGAATTCTGTTTTACACATTTTAAAATTCCTTTTATTAATCAAGTTGTTTCAGATTAGAAGTAATTTAAACACACTGTGTAAAAAAAAAAAAAACCAAAAACACAGTATTAAAAAGATGCCCACGTTTGAAAGTTATGTGATTAACATTTAAGACAGAACTTTTCAAGCCAATGTAAATGAAACAATGGAGAACAAACCAGGCTGTAAGAAGCAAACCATTACAACTGCACTGGATCCTACCAGATTTATGCTCCTGCTCCTCCTCATCGGAATGCTGGGCCCTTTCGTCATCATCAGAGTTCTGCATCTTCTCCTCATCGGAGTGCTGGGCTCTTTCATCATCGTCTGAGTTTTGCATCTTCTCCTCGTCTGACACCTGCGGCCTCTCCTCGTCATCAGAGTTCTGCATCTTCTCCTCGTCCGAATTCTGGAGCCTCTCCTCATCATCAGACATCTGAGGCCTCTCATCTTCATCAGAGTTCTGTGCTTTCTCCTCATCGTCTGAGTTCTGCTGTCTCTCCTCATCATCAGAGTTCTGCTGTCGCTCCTCATCGTCTGACTGATCGCTTTTGTCCTCCTTGCCCCACTTCTCATCCTCCGAATGGGCCTTTTCTGAACCATCTCCCTCAGAATGGTGACTGCCCTCATCAGAGCCGTGTCCCCGCTCGTCCTCCTCATCATCATGAGCAGCTTCTGAAGCGCTGTGCTGGTCCACATCCGACTGATCGTTGTCTTCATGCTCAGAGTGCCCCGAAGCTTCGGAGCGATTGTACGACCTCTCGGAGTGGTTGTCGCTGCCCGTGTGATGGGAGGCTCCTTCGTCCTCGCTGTCGTCTCCGAACAGCTCCTTGTTGCTGGGCTTTGCTGCCTCCCGCTCATCATCCTGCTCGCTGTCGCTGCCCGAGGCATTGCTGCCGGAGCCCACGTTCTCCTGGTCGGAGTCGGAATCCGAGCCAGAATCAGTATCTGCAAAACAAACACCGCCTCTCAAAGTTAAGCCATCCCTACGAGGGGTCAAACAGGACACAGGCACGCGTTACCCAACAGCAGAACTACACGAGGCACAGAAGTTACCTACAATAAAACATCTACCGACTACGATACAAAGAACGACCACAGGTACCACTCAATATGCCCGCTATTACCTAAGGTTCTAAAGCTCTGGGAGGAATAAGCCGTTACACAAAGCAAAGAACTCGGAGGCAGTGCCCGGTGCCAGGCGCTGCGTCGCCGTTCCTTAAGACGCCTGTAACCACTTTTCACCTGTGAAGAGCATGGAGCCAGCGGGCTGCACACCCCCACCCCCGGGCAGTAACCCGACCGAAGCCCGGCGTTCCGCCCTGCTTTGCGGGGGGGCCCGCGGGCGGGAGGCCCGGTACACGGCATCTAACGGCCGCACCTTTCTGCTCGGCCTCCGAGTCGGCGTCGCTGCCGAACAGCTCCTCCATGTCGGCCATGGCGGCTGCACGCGCCGGCGCCGCGCAGTGACGCGATACGGAGCGCCGGGTGCTGCATCCGGGAGGGGGAGGAGGAGAGGGAGGAAGGGCTCCTCTGAGCTCCCGCCGCCCTCTTCCGCCTCCTCAGCGCCGCCCTCAGCTGCAGCGCGGAGCGACGGGTGCGCGCCCATTGCGCGGCGCGCTGCCATCTTGCGAGGCGGGAGCTCGCAGCTAAGGGAGAACTACACCTGCACACCACGACCCCTCCCCCCAAAAAGCGCATTTTAATAGTTTTCGTACAACACTTGTATGAAATATTGGATCTAAGGCCTGAGCGGCAGAGTTAGCTGGGAATACAGAAGTAAATCAGCACAGCAGTGTTAGTTACGTTCAGCAGCAACACCGCACAAAGTCAGTACGGGGATGCACCAGCTCCCTTTGTCAGCTGCCTGGCCGCCTCGTGTCACATCAGCTGCACGGCTCAGCTCGGCATCACCTGCAAATTTGCTGAGGGTGAACTCAATGCCATCGTCTGTGTTACTGACAAAGATGTTGAAGAGTGCTGGTCCCAGGACAGACGCCTGGGGGGCACTGCTCCTCACCAGCCTCCACCTGCACTCGGAGCTGCTGACCACAACCCTCTGCCAGCAACCATCCAGACGATTCTTTATCCACCAACTAGTCCAGCTTTCAAATCCATGTTTGTCCAATCTAGAAATAAAAGCATGGCACAGGACCACGTCAAAGCCCTTGCACAAGTCCACATAGATGATAGCAGTCACCTTCCCTATGTCCACCAATGCTGTCACTCCATCCTAGAAGTCTGTCGGATTGGTCAGGCACAATCTGCCCTTGGTAGAGCCGTGCTCTCAGATCGTTTCACCTTGTGCATGCCTTAACATGTTTTTCAGGCAGATCTGCTCCATCATCTTCCCAGGAATAGACATGAGGTTCACCAACCTGTAGTTCCCCAGCTCCTCCTTTCTTAAAAGGATGTTTCCCTTTTTCCATTCATCTGGGACTTTGCCTGACAGACACGACTTTTCAAATAGGACGGAGAGTGGCTTAGCACCCACATCAGGTTATTCCTTCAAACCCTGGGATGCATGCCACTGGGCCCTCTAGACTTACACACATTCAGTCTCATGAAGCAGTCTGGAACTTGCTCTGCTCTTAGAGGGGTGGGATTTCACTCCCCCATCTCCTGCCTAGAGGTTCAGGGATACAAGAGGGATGGAAGCCTGACTGGCAGTGAAGATCATGAAGGTGTAGAGATGATGAGCATCTCTGGCATCTTCTGTCAAACAAGGCCAGCTACAGATATGTGAACCATATAGCAAAGCTCATGTATAGAACAAGCAGAGATCCACAGACAGCTTAGTAGTGTACTATTATGTGCTATTTAAAAACAAGCAAAATTATACAATAGTTAATCATTCAAAAATTTTACTGCTTTACAGTCTGACAGCATACAGTGCTGATAAGCTAAAACACTCAATTCATATTTCCTCAATGGAAATTTAAATTGAATACATGCTCATTTATAGCCTACAAGCTGTAGAGATAATGAGGCTATCTTTTAAAAATACAACAGTATATAGATAATTGTTTTGGAATATAGTCTACATTTCCATGCTTATATTGGAGCCAATAGAATCAAAAACGTGTGGTTATTTGGCTTCTGCATTAAATGTGGAAAAGAATGTAGAAGAACAGTACCACCTCTTTTGGAAAAAGACCTTGCATTTATGGTAGCTAGTTATCAAAATAATACCACTTCCATGCTCAAAGTCATATACTACACTTGAAACCATTAAATCCCAACATCCAACTTCACTAAAGACTGTTTATGATTCTTAGCTACAGACTGAATTCTTTAATTTCTTCCAAAATGGTTACATATACTGTAGGTACAAAAGTGTTGTAACTGTCTTAACTGTTCCATGGTCCATGCCAAACATCTTTCAGCAGTTGAGGGGAAGTTTTCTATGCTCACTGTCAGATACCTACCCTGAGAGGGCCAACAAACATTGTTAGCAGTCAACCAGTTAAGAAAGGTCCTCTACTATTGCCTATGACAGGACTCCTAAGAGTTACAATTTAGAAGCCTCTACCTTTGATTGGAATATTAACCATGAAGCAGCTAAACTTGATTCTATAAAGTAATAAAGAGGAGATTTCAGCTATAATTTCCATAATCCAGCCATTCATTTTTCTCCTTCATCTTCAAGTAGGACATAAGTGCATAGCCCTGTTTGACAGTACAAAATAAATTGTCACAGAATCACAACACGTGAACAGATTTCATGAACATGCAGCCCTTCAAGAAAAGAAGGAAAATATTACAGACTGTTTTTTGACACAAAATTATTATGGTGCTTGGCAAATGAGAAGTTTTAGGCAACTGAGCACATTACAGGCTTTGACCATGTTTATACATCGCTCCATCTATCTGTGAAAAAAAACAAAACCAAAACCACTTAACTTGTGAGTTTATCCATACCATGTAAGCACTTCAAATTTAACATCTGGGAAGCTCCTGACAATTCATAAAAGCCAAAACCAAAAGTAGCCTTTTTTTATTGCTAGTCAGATTACTGCTGGTTGCTTCAAACTTACACTCTGTAAAGTCTTTGGTTTTAATAGAATTGATTCCAACAGCTTTTCAGAGCACACATTTATTTGTAATTAGTCAATAAAAGGCCAATTTTGAAACAGGAAAAATATGTTCTTCCACAGTTATAAACCAGTTAAATATATCTTCATTGAAGGCACCATAGTTTTGAATGTGCTGTACAGTTGCAGTAAAATTAGAAGCCACCTGCAGAATAAAGTCTGTCTGAAATCCAAGACATCATTTGCAGGAAATTATAACACAGGCACAGTGTCAGAGGATTGCTCTATTAATTTTTATAGTACTTACAACGTGATGCAAAAAAAGTTTCAGTCCTATACATTTCCTCTATATAAAAAGCTCACCATATGATGATCTTCTGATGAAAATGGCTGTCAGTTGAGCTCTCATAAATATATTTGAGCTGTCCTTCAGAGTATTTTGTTAATTTATGGTCTCATGACAACATTAAGTAAGCTCGGTATGGTACAGTCCAAACAGGCCCACAGCAGAAAGCCCCTAGATTTTCATTATTTCCAAGATGTACACTTTGATTATGTACAGAAATTTAAGTGATTCTTGTGTCCTTATTAGTTGGCATAGATACACAGCTTGGAATAAGTACTGTACTATGCAAATTTGACACTACACATTAGTTAATTTCTGGAAGTCGTAGTGTTTCAAACATCAAGCCTTTCGAGAAAGTGTTACTTCATTGTTTCATGAAAACTTATACATTTATATGAAGCATTAACAATTTAATTCAATAGCTTGTAAAAAAGGATTTTCTGTTTGCCAGAAACTTAGGACACTGATTTGTATAATTAAGGTTGTTTCTCCTGAACAAAATTAGGCAAATTTAAAAAAGCTTGTCCACTACTTCTAGAGAAATTCATACTAGTTATGCATGTAGATAAGAACTTTTAAACAAAAGCTATAAACTAAATGCTGATGAGCACATGATAGTCTTAAAGTGTCCAGTTTAGACACAGAGCAAGTTATAATTCTGGGACATTTTAAAAGACTTTTAGGACTTAAGCATAGTAAGAAAAAACCCACTTTGCATGGCTTTTACTTTTTCTTTTTTTTGCAAGGCTCCCACTTTTTTTTTTTTTTTTCATTAGTCCCTCAGATCTCTTGGAAGAAAAGTCAATTTATTTTGCCTGTTTTTAAGGGATGTTTACACTTAATCACAGTATCAAGAACAAATCAAAACAAAAAAAAAATACAGTAAGACAATTGTGAAAGATTTCCCTTCAGTGCATATGAACAAGGATGAACAGCTCTAAACAATGAGTCCAACTATTGTGTGAAGAATCCATCACTAAAGCATTGTTCTGAAGAACATACATACCCCTTCATGTAAATGAGCACCCCTAGATTTTCTAACATTTCAGTTGGGTCATTATATGCCCAGTGATCCTGAACGTCCCATTCTTTGACTACAGACAATTATACAATTGATTCGCGATTACATTTTTAGTAGAAAGCACAGCCAAGATCTTAAAATACAAAAAAGTTCTTTAAAAAAAAACAAACAAAAACAATCAAAAACTGGATCTGTACATGGATTGGTGTGGTTATGAAAAACGTGACGCATACCAGCAGATTATTAATATAGCTTTGCTTTAAAAGGAATGGGGTTTCCAGTCTTTTCCCTTCTAACCCAGGTAAATGCAGTCCAAGATTGCCAAAGCCCACCGTGAGGAGCGTGCTTTGAAGACCCTTGAAATCTTCACACAGTTCTAGCAAGATCTACTGGCTGTCTCCTTCCACCCTTCTCTTGCGAACTGTAACAAAATAGAAGATGTATTTTAAAATATTATTGTTACTGTACTACATATTTCTGCACCACTGGTATGTAGTATGGCTCCCTACTTTGCTGTACAAAGGCTCATGCAGTGATCTAAAGTAATCAACATTTAATATTAGCCACCATTACACAAGAGCAGATTCAAATATTTCCTATGAGAATCATATAGGAAACAATCTTTTTACTTTAAGTAAGCAGATTTAACAAGTTAGTCTTTGTTTTTATTGCCACAGTTTGCTTGGCTTTGAAAGAAACAATGTAAAACTTTCAAGAATACCCAATAAGATTTACACACATTCAAATTTGTACACACTCAAACAAAACTAAATTAAAAAACCCTTCGAGATGTTATGCTCAATAGCCTACAGCATTCCATTCATTAATAAAAATATTCAGTTGCCGTAAAATGCAAAAGCAACAAAGATCCATGAATAAAACCACCAACGCTCACATGCTGCTCTGGCTTTACGCAGGATTCACTGAATGCCTTCAAATTCTCCAGTCATGCAGTTAAAGGCAATATTCACATGGTTTCAGACAAAGAAGGAAGGGGAAGTAGGACAGCACAGTGTAGACAAAGGAGAAAGGTGCAGACTTATTTTCAATATAAAGAAGTCACATACAAAGACAACTGAAAGGCTGAGCATCTCGGTTTTCAGTGCTTGACACCCAAGTGGGCATTTAGAGTAACCTGCCTCTGTAGCTTCATGGCTGGAGAGGTGAAAAGGTGTTTGCAGAAATTTTTACTCGGATACTCCAGACTAAGAAAGCAAGGAAAAACAGGCAAGATATCAATAGAAACATAGATTTCCAGCAGTTAAACACTAAAATGAGAACTAGCCGAAAGAGAAGCTTTAAAGGACAGAGACATACGGAGTGACAAGAAAAAAAATTGGTTTGGAATTAATTTTGAGAAACATTTATGTGTGTTTAAATGCCTTTCTTCTGTCCCTATTCTACCTGTTGCTCTTCCTCTCTTTCTTTCAGAGATGTTAGCCTCCACTTTAAACTTTACTACAAGGGAAGCAGATCAAGAAACCAAACTCTGGCTTCCTAGAAGCATTCCCTGTTATTAGATCTCTTCCTGAATTCCTACTACTGCTACTGAACAGCCTGGCTCATTTTCACACCAAAGGGCTGTGTAATCCTTACTGCATCACAAAGCATCTAACCCAGCAAAGTTTAATGAAATGGAATTTTAAAATGCAATTCTATTTGAACATATTGACCTCCTTTTAACTTGTCATAGCTGAAACCTCCCCGTATTTGACACTGTTAATAAGAGATTTCCATTCACATGCTATACTATCAACCAATTTTCTGTTGTTTTGTTTAGTTAGAGTTCTAATGTGAGCTCCAAACAACAAAACTAAATGCAGCAAATAAAGACACCACTGCTACTATCTACATTTAAGAGAGGCAGGGAAGGCACCAGGGCATTAATGGAGCTGTAAGGGAAGAGGTGACTATGCCAACTTCTGACAGTGCGTTCACCCCTCCCTGCTCAAGCATTCCAAATGAGACTGGGTGTACTAGCACAGAGGAGGGCATCTCACACTAATAAATTCAAATACAGTCTTTAAAAAGGCCATTAGTCCTACCTGAATAAAACCACATAATCAAAGCTATTATTTTTCTTCCCTTGCCGCAACACATCTGGAGTATGAACGTTCTTCCTGTTTCTGGACTATGCTAAAAATCCTGAACTCATGCATCTGGACATCTTGCAACAACATAAACAGGGAACAGCAAGTAGCAACAGAAGAATAAGAGTAAAAGCACAGGAGAAACCTGAAACTGATTGACAATTTTTTTCCCATCCTGGTTATATCAAAGGAAAACCTGGAAAAACAAACAACTTTAAATGAATGTGTGCAGCACAAGTTTTAAGAGTTACTCTTGACTGACAGGTCTTACCCAAGTCATTGTTTTTTGTGATAGCAGCAGCTGCCCTGGCTCGAGGTCCCTGTTGTGTGAAATGGTATCCAAATTTAAGGATCTTGGTGTTTTCTTCAAGCATCTTGGCAATTTCTACTTCTGCAAGAGTACCCAGCTGCTGCCTCTATTTAAATGAAAAATACACAAAGACAGCAGAGCTTAGGTGTAGTCATAAAAGAGAGATCAGGATACCTTCATCATATTAGTCAATAAATACCTTTTTTCTTTTAATTAATCTAAAAGGCACAAGCTCATTATCATATCTTTGTGCATTTTAAAGCACAAAGAAGCACAGAAGTGCTTCTTGAAATGGATGCCTATGAAAATCTTAAACACACATAGCATAAGATATTTAAAATATTTCTAAAAGGTTATCACAAGAAGCCTAGAAGTACTCAGTCAACATGGACAGAGAGCATGTAAGCACTGATTTTAATTATGCTACCATAGTCTCACGTACCTGATTATCAATTTTGATCTCTGTCAGTGTTTCATTGTCTTTCAGTGCATCGACCAGTGCCAAAATTCCAACTCCGGTGATGAAGTTTGATTCTATGTTTAAACTTTTTAATTTTGTGTTTACTCTCAGCATATCTGCAAGAGCCTTTGAATGCAAGAAAGTACCATTAAACTTTTGAACTGTGCTACAGTACATCACAGGACAGAGCAATGACCACTTCCACCAACTAGCTCAACAGGAGCAACATGTTCACAGATGCATAGTGTAACTTTGCAAGTATTCACCTCTTGAGACTGAAGAGAGTCTTCAACCAGGAATCATCTACATTCTCTTTTTAATAGTACTTAATCAAGAAAAGGCCTGTCTTACCCTTGTTACAAACTAAAAAGCTACACAGAATATAAATTGTCTGAAATTAGCATATTGGACTAATTCCATTTTGTAAGCTTTCACAGCCCATAATGAGTAGTGCAAGCTGTAAGAAAGGCTCAAAGAAAGGGGGTTAAGCCAACTGAAAGGAGAATTAGATATGGTTAATTTGTAAACAGGAGATCTGACTTTCAAAATGCTTGTGTCTACAGATTTGGTAGGAAGCAAGAACAAAAAACACACAAAACAAAAAAGCACCAGACCCCAAAATCAACCCTCTACCTTCTTAATACAAATGTTTCTGTTCTGCTGAAAAGGAACTTTTTAATTCACCGAGGACAAAGCCTTCAAATGTTTATTTATTCACTTAACTGAATGCTCTAAACAACTGAAGCTAAAACAAGTGCAAAGGATTGTCCCAGTGCTATTTTCTTACTTCTTTATGTGCAAATAAATAAGGAACTACTTTTGATTCAGTACAGAAAATCAGGGCCAAATGATAAAGACTTTGGTTTCAATTTCTCAGACTAAATACTTTCATTGCCAATGCATTGAGCCCATCTTTGGTTGCAAGATCAGAGAAATGGGTATTTTACAATTCTGTTCAACCAAAACTCAACTTAGTTGAAAAATGCGATGAGCACTTTCAGCCCCAAACGTATTTCCTTTGAAGTTAATTTTGAGGATACTCCTAACTCACAGCATGCACATTATTAATTAAACAACGAGGAAAGAAAGAAAAACAGGAAGGAGGTTAGCAAAATGAAATCCCCACTCATCTCATCATCTGACACATTGCTGTACAGTCATCAAGTAGTTGTTCACCAACTTTGATACAGCAAAGGTTTGCCAAAGTAAACATACAACACAGGGTGAAAGAAATTAATCATTTTCATGTTAAAACTTATACATGTATGCACACACATACAGACAGGATTCTACTCTATCCCTTACTGCCACTTTTCCAACCAAACTTCCCTTGTATCCCCCAAAGCACATTTGCACAATACTTACAACAGCAACAGGATCATTACTTCGGGTGGCTGCAAGGCTAAAATTCTTCACATGTGTGTTGGTTTCTAGAGCTTTTGCAAATTCTTTCAGCGTTGGAATTGGTATGTTCTTGAAATAAAAATAGCATTTCAGTCTCTTGAGATGCATAAGTTTAACCCCCACTCTCTTTTTCTTCCATTGCCTTATTCTCTTCACAGCACAGCACACCATACTATTAACCATCGCTGATCTCCAGCAGTCTCACAGTACAGGCTTAGATGTGCAGCAGAGCCACGTGCAAGGTGCAGTGGTTCTGAGTTGGTAATTCTATAAATTAAACTCACCTTTATTTAACTAATACCAATGCCACAATAGAATGGTTAAAGATATTCAGCTGTTTTGAAAATGTTACTGAGCTTACATGAATTCAATATTCTTCTTCCTATCACTACCATACTAATCTCTCACACACAGGAAACCACTTAGGAGCTCTAGAGCAACAGAATTCCATCTTCTTTGTTACGTTAAAAATAATCTCAGAAGTCATCAATTCAGTTTGATGATTTTCACAAAGTAGTACCAAGCAACTCTAAAAGCAATAATTTTAGATAATTAATTACAGTCACAAGTCTCTTGGCTTATTGTAATAGCAGTTTTGTTCTGTTACCTTCTTAAATACTCTGGCCAGTACTTCATTGTTGTGCAATGTTCTTAAATAATGCGTTTCTTTTACTGCCTGCAGTAAGAACAACAAATAGTCTAGGCTGCCAGTGAGTGCAGAAAGCAGTGACAGGCAGCTGGTTGCAGCAAGTCAGTTGTGTTATAGTTCTGTTTTCTTACGGGTATATATACACAAAAATGTTCAGTCACGTTGAAGGACAATTCTTAAGAGCTGATAATTGCTGACAGCCCTTCTGTACAAGAATCAGAAGAACATTAGGTACAAATACCATTTTGTTTGCAGTAGCAGTAATTGAGAGCACACTACTTCACAAAGCACAAAGGATTCAAAGCAGTTAACTCCATGATGCTGAACTGCTGGAACTGTCACCAGCTTGGCAGCAACTGAAACCTGGTTTGGTAGTAAGAAACTCTGAGAGTTTTAGAGAATGTGCTTCGTAAAAGATACCAAGATGGCTTACTGCTTTATTTCAGGCCAGAAACTTGGGGCTAAAGCACACTGCAACATTTTGCAGGAAGGCTTCTATACTTAAAATGAGGCCATTGTGCCCACTCATAGTGCTGCACAGCTTTAAGTGTCTTCTGCCAAAAAAAAGGCAGCATATCTACTGCATAATTCAGATAATTACCTTGATGTTATTTAGATTAACTTCAACAAGACGGGAATCGTTATCTTTAATCCTTTGCAGAGTCTCCTCCACATTTGTGGGATTTGGTGGTTCATCAAAAACAGGTAACATTTTTTCACCTTTTACTATATCTGAAAAGTAAGGGATACAATCGTAATCCAACAGTTGCATACATTCACTGTACATGTGATAAATATACAAAATATTTGCTGCATTTAAAGATCATTTCCTCAGTCTTCACATCTCTTCCTCACCCAAGAAGTATACCATCATCTCTGACTGTATTTTTATAAAGTTCAGCCCTCCTCCAATGTTCTCGCAGCCTTTCTCCTTTTCTTGACCATGAGCTTTTTTCCAGAAAGCAGAAAGGATTGAATAACAAACACACACGTTAAACCTAAAAGCACAGGCACACAAACCTATTTCTGCACCTGCTTCTATCTCTCCAAGAAGTGAATTACCTACAGAACAGTTTTAAGTGTAAATAGGTAATTCCACTCTCGCCAGAACTCAACTGGAAACATTACAAGCATGTACCTTATCAACTCACAATGTAATGTCCTATTAAAAATGCTAATAACGCGTTTATTTAGCACTTGTGTAAATACTTACTTGAAAAGCTGTCTTTGCCAACCCCGTTACTGCTTCCTACAATATCACAGAACTGATTGTTTGTTATCAGGTTGGACATTCCCAGTATAGCTGTTAAAAGGGGGAAAAAAAAGAAATAAAAAGCGAAGAACAATTTTAGTGTCCATGGCTAATTCAGCTTAGGGGCAGAGCTCCTTTAAATAATAATAACTGAAGTCCACCAAACACCACATCACCAGTACAATAACCCACTGAATCTCTTAATTTAAAGAAAAGTAGAAGAACTTTTAATGTAACAGAAAAGACTTTTTAGGTAGCTTTCATGTCTTAAAAAGTTTCAACCTCACCAGGTTCAGGCAGCATAGTTAAAAGCGCAGTTCAGCCAAACATTCTTGACTGCAGCTTTAGGAATATAAGCACATACCAACACATATGTATGGAAAAGCAGTGGTGAACACTAAACAGAAAGCAGCCAGCTTGAGGAATGAAATGAAAGGTTCCGAGTTTTAAAATGGGGAATCTTAAGCCAAAACATTCCTATATATTAGCACAAACCAACAAAGACGATACGCTGCAAACAGACTAGCATTTAATTTTACCTACATGGTAGCTTCTACTACACTTCAGACAACAAATACCCTCAAACATTAATTGTACATCTCTATTTTCTAAACATGCAGCCCAGCTGTACTTTCAGAACAAAGGGACCCACAGCACTAACCTGCAAGGTCACATAGCTCTGTGTCTGTGGCACTTGTCAAGGCTTCCTCCAGTTCTGGATCAAGAGCAATTTTTTCTTCTGCATAAGACTGGGCAGGTTTCTGCTTCGGGATAAATATTTTCCCTAGAGTAAAGAAAGTGAAAGGTGTTATATTACTTTGCGTTACGTAGCTGCTTGTCTTTAAACTTCTCTGTTCATAAGGGATGCATACAACATTTCAGAAATCCTAAGGCAGTATGGGCAACAAAGGAATGAGATCTCTTCTATTTGCTCTTGCAAGTCAGAGATGAGAAAAGGGCAAAAACAGGAACATAACATTATCCAAGATTCCAGCTTTTCAGGAGCCTGTATCAGGACTCCAATCTTGTTTCTTCTGAATATCGGGGTAAAATGTAAGTCTGCATCAAGCATTTTAAACAACGCATTTTTAAGTAAAGTGCCTGCAAATAAAATTCAGTATTACTGGAAAACAAGGACAGATACACTAAAATGCATGACATGAAAAAGGGACCCATGCAGAGCTGCAATTTGAGTATTTCTGAGAAATAAGTTCTCTCAGCATCATCTGAAATCCCAGAACTGAATACTCACTGCAGTTTTACATCATATACCGTATTTCTGGTTTCAGATGTCAACTTAAACTTGAATTTAAAAAAAATGAAACGCCTGAGATGCTTAAGAAAAGAATGGTTTGAGAACAGCAGAAAACATGGTAATTTATCTCTGGCACACACTGCCAAAGACAATTTTCAAAAATGATGCTTAGAAACAAGGAAGGTCACAGAAGATTCAGTGAGAAAAAGGAGCAGTGACAACTGCGTCACACCCACCTTTTAGCCACTACAGACAGGAAAAGGGAAAAGTGGTTTTAGGGTAAATACATTACAAATGGAGGTGTAAGTAGTTAGCATAATTCCTGCACACATCTTTGGTCAAAAAGCTAGGGCAAAAAAATAAAAAATAATAATAAAAAAAAAATAATCAGAAAACCAAGTTATTAGAATAACTATTCTGTAAATGGAACTGATACATTCAATGGGTGCTTTCCACAACTAGAAAACTTTGATCTTGATAGCTATTCAAAATTTTTGCGTACTGTTAAAGACCAAGAAAAGTCAGTATATTTATCAGATGCATACTGGTCTAATAGCTTTGATCTACAACTGCATCTGATTAAAGACAAGCATGATCCACCTTGGCTGTCACCATCTGGGCATGTTCACTAGTGTTCAGCCTCCCTGCCTGGGCCACCAGCAGCCAGAGCTGAGGGTCACAGCTTCCAGCAGCACTTAACTGCTCCTGGGGGTGGAAGGTGGTGTCCATAATCCAAGATTTCTCAGTTGACTCAGGAACCCACCCTTCCATACCCACAGTAAGGCCTTTCCACGCCTCCCACGGAGCGCACCAGCTCATCCCCCACCCAGCAGCAGGCCAGCTGGGCAGGAGCCAGGAGCAGACTATTTTGCTCCTTGTACATACACAAGTGTATCTTGTTACATGTTTGGACTAAAACTAACTTTAGCGTTTCTAAATGCCTCCCAGTGACTAGATGCTGTAAAGGAATCTTCCAATTTACATTCTGGGGAAATTCTGACAAATTAGTGCTTTGGTTTCATCATTTCTGGAGACAAACGCTGGCACCTTATCACCCATCCACCTTTCCTCTCTCTCCACATCCCCACCCTAGATTACAATTGTTTGTGCTTCATTTTCTTTTTAAAGGAACTTCAGCATCACCACTAGCATAGAACACAATTTGAACTCTTCACAACAGTCTGATGACAAAGACTTGTTGCTAGCAACACAATATTGTTGTTCCTGGGTTGCTATCACTTTGGAAAGCTGTAAGTTTAGAAGCAAAAAATAAATCACCTTATATAACTGTTCTGACTACAAACAGGAGCTGAAAGCAGCTGACATACATCGCCACAGCTCAGTTTTGATGGAGAGTGCTAAAGGAAGCTTGTGGCAATTCAAGATAAATAGAGAACCTTCATAAATGGCAGGTGTGAGCAATAAATGCATTGGACTACTCTGATACACCTGACACAGTACATCTTCTACTCCCATTTCAGTATATCAGTATCACCTTCCAGGACAGGAATAATCTTCAACTTAAACTGGAATTTTTAAAAGAGATAAGAGAACATGTGACAAGGTTTCCACCAACCTCTGAAGCACTTTGAACAGCACGCACACAGCCTAAAGCCTTTCATCATCTGCATTTGTGTTCTTTTTCCTCAGTAACACAGAATAGCAAAAAAGTGAGGCTGGCAGAGCATGAGGAGGAAGAAAGGGAAATGGTGAGATTGAGTGCCTGAGCCTCCATCACACCACCTGCCTTGCAGCATCAGTGCATCTCATGCTTTTCTCCATAGCAAGCTGGCTTCTTCTGTGAACTCCATGTGAATTCTGTTTAGAAATACAAAAACCTCCAGAGCATGTGAAGAATTCTTGGCCCTCTCAGTTGTGTAATTTAATAAACAGTTCTGTACAAAAATAAAAACCTATGCTTGTAAAAAAAAGAATTAAAGAAAAAAAAAAGAAAAATCTTACAAGAATTAAAATGAAATTCTGTCTATTCTGAGATGACCAATCCTACAAATTTTGCTGTTAAAATTTCTCATTTGCTTTCCAGATGAGAAAATACATGAATCATAGAATCACCAAGGTTGGAAAAGACCCACAGGATCACCCAGTCCAACCATCCACCCTTCACCAATAGCTCTCACTAAACCATGTCCCTCAACACAACGTCCAAACGTTCCTTGAACACCTCCAGGGTCGGTGACTCCACCACCTCCGTGGGCAGCCCATTCCAGTGCCTAAAAAGACCTGTCAAAAATACCAGGTACAGACTTGTAGCAACAAGTGTCCATACAGCATTCTAAGAAAGCATTTTGTAGAACGTTTTTCCAACCCGAGACTTCCTATGACTTTGCAAAAAGCACTGAATGACATTTTCTGCTCCTGGAGATACCTCTTGTGATTATTTTGAGTACATTAAAATTGAAGATTCTCAAGTTTTCTAAATTTCTGCTTTCAACACATGCCTTGCAGCGCAGCATAAGCATCTGAAGAGTAGGTGCTTTGGCAGCCTTGTGGGATCTCCCCTAGCCTTAACATTAGCTCTTGACTAAGCCTTTTGTTCTGTTTCTTTCAGGAAGAAACCCAGAAAGGAACACAGCCTTCTATCTGCAGATCCATAGTTATGTTTTAGTTCCACTGACACTCCGCCCTGCCACTGAACAGTCCAAACCAGAGAAGTTTCACAGTCCTTTTTGCCTTCTGAAATCCATTCAGCTACTGATTCTTATTCCCCACCACAAGCAGTGGTGCAGCAGGCAGGGGGTGGGAGAAGCTCAATGAAAAGCAACTTCCTAAATGCTATGGTTTCTAAAACCAACTTCATTTTAACCTAGCTCACTTCCCTGTCTAGCTCATCACACAGCACCCACAACAAAAGAGAACTACGTCTGACATTAACTTAATTCTTAAGGTCACAGGTTAGGACCTTCAGATTCTAAGCATTTGCATCCTGAAAAAATAAGACTAAATTTACCCGTACATTCCTGGCTCTTGGGACAACCTTAAAAAAAAAAGTTTTTCTTAAAGCCAAAATGTTAAAAGCCGCTCCCTTCCAGAAGTACAAATTACAGCCAACTCCAGGCACACGAACTGGGTCAGGAACAGTTTTTGTTATAAACCAGGTCACACCCTTGTGTATACAATCTCTCATTCACTCGCCCTAGCCCAGAGTTCAGAGATTCACAGCATGTACATGAGAGCAAGTCCTTCCCAGCTTCTAGCAATCAGCAAATACTTCAAAAAAAAAAAAAAAAAAAAAAAAACAACTGCACCTCTGGGGACGATGATCTAACTCGAAGCCTGCTGCCAAGGCAGCCTGGAGATTTCCTTCCCCCATCCCCTCCCCTGCCTTTTTTTTGTTTTGCTTTGTTTTATAATACACATCTGCACAGTGTATACGATGAGCAGCTTTCTTGGTTTTCAGGTGGAACATTTCCAAATAGCACAAAGAAACACGGCGTCCTCCTTGCTCTTCAGCCAACAAGGACACCACAAAGATTAAACAACACAGCACAAAAAGGCAAATTTCAGACATGTCCATATGATCTCTGTAATTATTAAATATTCAGGTGTTTTATGGCTTTAGCTAACACCTTAAACGATCCACATCTTGGGATTAAGTCAAGCCTTTCTTTGCAACAGAATGAACTTGCAGTTCCAGTTACACAGCAGCACATCCCACTAAAGGCAGGAGAGCAGAACGGTGTGTGTTGAAGCACATGAGACACTGCACACATACCCAAGGTGGGGTGGAGGGCCTTGCAGAGTGTTCAGGAGTGCTCAGCACAGCCATGAACTCACCATAGCCAGCACAATTCCCCCACATCCCACAGCCCAGGAGGCACCCATTGACCACGAGCAGCAGGCCAGAACAAAGCCCCACATCAGTTTTGCAGCCCTCTGATGAGGAAAAGGAACCAAGCGCCACCTGAGGAAACCTCCTGTCATCAGTGACTTCATGAAGGGTGCACAACATCTAACTATGTATCCTATGTACTTTGCATTCACTAAACATTCACTGGTACAGAGGTTGTTACAATCCACAACTCAATCACCAGGTCTTACCACACAATAGCCTCATGTTCATCAACTTGCTTACAAGTCTAAGTAAACACTAATCTTTTTGTAATTCAGCTTAGAAGAGCTGTGTTCCTTGGTGCCTTACTGAGGAAACAGCACTGTTATCCATTATTTGTCTACAGAACACGTGGCTGTGAATTAGAACACTGTCATGCACTAAGGCTGGTATATCACATGCTATTTTGTTCACTCATATGGTGAACATCAATTCGACAAGTTGTTTCTTCAAAGCTCCTACAAGATACTAACTTCATTTCACAACATGTGACACATTTCTTTTAAAGACTAGTGATTGAAAGGCAAATGGGGGAAGCAGCACCCCAAATTCAAATATGACTGAGCAGCACAAATCAGCCAGGCAGGTCAGCGCCAAAATAGCTCTCACCATGTGAGAGTGTCAACCTAACAATGATTTCTGGGCAATAGAGCAGAGGGAAAAAAAAGCTGAAGTCACACAAAAAGCAAACCTATGCAGAACAAATACAGCCTGGCAGGAACGCTGGGGGAAAGCTGGAAGAGAAAAATGCGATGAGAAGAGGGCAAAGCCTAGAAGTACAAAGCTTGATTTATTTAATACTTTGCTACTGCCTTACACTGCACAGCTGAAAGTACATTACAAATGTCAGATACACTTCTGCTTCGTATCAATTGCAATAATTCTCACATTTTGCTGTTGATAGAAACATGGAACCCGGGTGAGCAGAGAGGAAAGCATGGACAGGGCACCAGTGCCCAGAGCTGAAGCCTCCCTCCTCTGGGGATGGGGCATCCTGCTCACTGCAGCATGCCTTGGGAAATCCTTCTGGCATGTTCATGGACAAATACTGAGACAAAGCCAGTTCTGTTTAAATTATTACCCCACTGGTTTCATGAATCTCTTGCCTGAATTATTTGTCAGGCAACAATGGTTCACTGTATGGTTCAACACTTAATTGGAATGGAATGTGACTGAAGTCATTACATCTTGTTTAAAAACAAAGTATGTTTTAAAGGATGCATCTAGAAACCAAGCCAGGAACTGAAAAAAATAAAATATAACAATTTAGGGATTGTTAAGCGTCACATTCATTTAGCACTGTTCATCTCACTATATCAGGGTACTTTATGTGATTTTGCATCTTCCACATCTCACAGCACAGCAAAAAAAAAAAAAAAAAAAAAAATTTAAAATCTGGAGAATTCACAGCACCTATCAGTGAAAAAGATCAACACTGCTTTAACAATATGTTAACTCAAAATGAATTAGGACAACTGGAAGAGAAGATTTTCATTTGCACAGCAGTAGGGAAACAAGATCACCAAGGGTGGTAACACCCAGGGTGAGCAGCTCTGATAAACCTGCAAGTGCAGTCACCGTGATGGACACTGGTTCTACTGACAGAGAAAGGAGGATAGATTCCTCCTTTCTTACTCCATGGAAGGGGTAATTAGACTAAATGAGACCAGTGGGAGCATCCAGGTATACACAATTACGATAGTGAACCCTGACTTACAAAAATGGCACCAAGAACATAGCTACAACTCCCTGAGATCCTTTAGATCTCAAGATTAGAGTTGTTAATTTTCTTCTTCTGAATTAGCAGCATAACCAAGCAAAATGTTCCATCCGCCCCATTCCATGACTTGCTAGCTGCTTGTATCTAGTCAAACAGAATAGTTATCAGCCAGCCCTTTTTTTTCCCTCCTCTTAAAATTAAATGATGGCTGTTGTTGTTTTTTTTTGTTTTTTTGTTTTTTTTTTTTTTTTAATCCATAGAGAGTCCTTATCAAGTTTCACTCTACTCCTTTTCCTGTTTTCACATCTTGATGAGAAATCACGATCTCCATATTTAACAGATTAAGTGATACAGGATTGCTGTTTTTGCACAAACCTGACATGAACACAGTAGCAAGTCACAACTGAACTACAGAATCTTCAAGAGCGGAAAAGATTATCCCTCACCTACTCTGCAGTGCAGTCAGCCTTCTTCCCTCTTGCCTCTCATTTAATAGGGGCATGAATTTCCACACTGAACACATTTTTTCAGTTTGGATGAAAGCAAGCTACATTTCATTTTCAATGTCATTTTCTTCCTTCATGGCATTAAAAAAAAAAAAGTAGGAAGTTACTATAATAAATCCTCTTCAAAAGATACGGGAAATTTTATTAACTAAATTTGCATGTCATATTGCAACATTCAGACTGCTGTTTAGTAATACTTTATTACATAAAGGAAGTGACATTTGAGTTTTCTTAACCAAGATGTGTACAGCCGGACCCTTCTATTTTCCTACGCAGTTCTCACAGATTTTATCAACCAAAACAAGTAGTTCTGCTGTGTGCATGTATACATAAGCAGGCATGAAAGAACCACCAAGTGCAATGAAGTACTAGTACATCTTGATGGGAAAAGAAGCATATGTGCAAAACAACAAAGTGCTCATTAGAGGAAATCCTCTCTGGCCACCCTTCGTCCTGAAGGGGCTGCAAGGGATTGCCAAACACCAGAGGCAATGTCACACTTGGACTCTCCCATCAGACAATTACGCTGTCTGCAGCACACACCAGCAGATCTGCCAGGCGAGAAGCAGGCTGGGGAGGAAAACACAGGAGCACAGGCACTGCTCACTGAGGCAGCAGCGCAGAGAGGACCAAAATGACAGGTGCTTTCCTCTGCCCTCTGCACCCAGTGCTACCCAGCATCATCCTTTACTTGGGTACTTGCACAGATGCAGTCAGGAAACTCCTCCATCAGCAACCAAGTGCCACAGCTCTATTTCAACAACAAAAAAAGCGTTAAGCTATACAACAGAATCATAGAATGGCCTGGGTTGAAAAGGACCACAATGATCATCTAGTTTCAACCCCCTGCTACGTGCAGGATCACCAGCCAGCAGACCAGGCTGCCCAGAGCCACATCCAGCCTGGCCTTGAATGCCTCCAGGGATGGAGCATCCACAGCCTCCTTGGGCAACCTGTTCCAGTGCATCACCACCCTGTGCTATAAAGTAACAACTTCTGCAATCCTTCAGGAAAGAGACTGATGTTGAACAATAGCTACAGCTATGTGCACAGACAGACAAAAAGCAAATAGCTCCACAAAAAAATACCACTGAATTTACTGTGCAAGTACAATCATGTATACAAATTCAGTAATGAAGACTCAATTCTCAAATAAGCAATGATTCACAACAGATATCCACAGAACTACAGGGTTTGGTAGCGAACCCTTAAGAAAAGAGGAACAGTTCTTAAGAGAGGAGCCTGTTCATCTTGAGCAGTCAGAACACATTTTATAAGGCAGCTTTGTAAATCCTTACTGCAACAGACCTGCCATGGTGCTGGGGAGGCTTCAGACAAGTTAGGACTCAGGAGCAGCACACAAACACTGGTGACAGCTAAAATCCTAGAAACCAAAATATTTAGAATCCCAGGCTTTTATGATGCATCTATTCTACCAGGTCTGTGTTTCCACAGTTTTTACATCATAAGCCACAGCTAGATTTCAAGGCTTCTTGCAATGTTAAGTATATAATTAACCAATAATAACCATGCAATCTTATTAAAATCTTTCACTAACGATACCAGAAATGCAACATGATTGCTTACACCACTAGCTCAAAAATGCTGTAGGCCAATAATGCCAGACATTACTGGGCATCTTCCACGACACATCATTGTACTGCTCTGTTTCAAATTCAGTCTTAGAAATATCACTGTCTGTCCTCAGAACCACGGGCCATAAGCTAGAGGCACAACAGTATTTGTTACTATTGACACAAATCTGGGGGTAGCTCTCATTTGGAACGTGCCACCCCCATCAGAACTTGACAACCGTTGGTAAAATCTTTTGATGGACGAGAGCCTGAACATGAGGCAGCAGTGCGCTCTGGCAGCTCGAAAGGCAAATGGGATCCTGGGCTCCATCAGGAGAGGGGTGGTCAGCAGGGACAGGGAGGTGATTGCCCCTCTCTACTCGGCTCTTGTGAGGCCCCATCTGGAGTCCTGTGTCCAGGTGTGGAGCCCTCAGTACAAGAAAGACATTGAGATTTTGGAAAGGGTGCAGAGGAGGGCGACTAAGATGATCAGGGGGCTGGAGCACCTCCCCTATGAGGACAGGCTGAGGGAGTTGGGCTTGTTCAGCCTGGAGAAGAGAAGGCTGCCGGGTGACCTCATTGCAGCCTATCAATACCTGAAGGGAACCTACACCCAGGAGGGGAGTAAACTCTTCATAAGGGCTGACAACAGCAGGACTAGGGGAAATGGATCCAAGTTGAAGGAGGGAAGATTTAGGTTGGATGTTAGGGGGAAGTTCTTTACAAGGAGAGTGGTTAGGCCCTGGAACGGGCTGCCCAGGGAGGTTGTGGATGCCCCGTCCTTGGACGTGTTCAAGGCCAGGTTGGACGGGGTCCTGGGCAACCTGATCTGAATGTGTGTGTTTGGTGGCCCTGCTAGGCAGGGGAGTTGGAACTACATGATCCTTGAGGTCCCTTCCAACCCGGGTGATTCTGTGATTCTGTGAATTTGATTTTTTTCCTACAAATGTGCAAATGGTACATCAGGCCCAGTGCCACATGAGGCTGGAACAGGAAGCACCCTGCCTCTGCACAAAGGCAGTCTGCAGGTTACAAAGCAGTTGAGCTGCCACTAAACTTTGGTTCAGAATAGCTCAGGCCAGCCCACTTCACAAATTTCCTAACCACCAACACAGGCAATGGAGTCCTTACCTTTCTTTTCTTTTGTAAAAGGCACATAGTCTTCCCTGTCTTTGTGCTCAAGAGCTTCCTTCTCCAAAAATGCAAGGAGTCGTTCCCTGTCAAAAGGACCCGAGGCCTTCTTAGCAGTCTGGTCCTTCTGTCGGAAGCCTGCAGGCAGAAGCGCATTCTGCAAAACAAAATGGAGCAAATAAACACAGCTTAAAAAGTCTGGGTGAACCTGCTCAGATTCCTCTCCTTCTTTCTCCTCCTCTTGCTCAACGTTCAAACCCAACATCTTTATGTACAATAGTACCTAGCACAAAGCTTGCTAGTTATTTAGTATTTCTTCCCTAGAATGAGCACTGTTTAACTGAAGAACAAATAAACTCCTGCTATTCAGTTTTAGACAATCAGTAAGCAGTCCTCTTCCTCCACCGCTAATTTCCCTGTGCTTAAGACAACTGTCCATGCTGCTCTCTGTTAACAACAGCAAGTATTTCTACTTCTGGCCTGATTCAAATTGCTGGTTTTTTTCCACTGTTTTGCTTTTTTTTTTTCTTGCTATATCAACATACTTTGGCTAAAGAAAAAAAGGATATGCAAACAGAAATTCAGACTCATAAAAAGGCAGTCAATCCCTTTTGCCAGTTCTCCTCTATTTAAGTGTCAATAAGCCAAAGTAAATTAGAATATCAGGAATACTTTTCTGTACAACAGAACAAATAATCATAAAATTCTTAAGCAATCCCTGAATATCAAGTTGGAAGTTTATGCTAACAAAAACAAGAACAGAGAGAATCAGGAGGTGGAAACTCTGGTCTTGGATTCAGACTCTATCTGCAGGACCTGTACAGGACATCACTCAGCTCTTCATAATAGAAGGCTAAAATATTCTTTAACATCCCATGCTGACAACTGTCCAGGTGTTGAGAAAATTTTTGCCCCCTCTTTGCAAACTCAGCAAGGTACAAGAAGGGGAACAGTCATGCTGCTAGACACAAGATGAGGAATCTTTGGAAGAGTTTGGTGCTTTCCCTCTCCCATCCAACAGCAGAAGTAACAAAATAGCAATGTATGCAAAGAGCTGTTTACCATCCAGCATCGGAAACAGGAAAGTTTAACAGGCCTTTCTAATAAATTCTTTCAAGATCACTTAAGAGCAACTTTTCCTGTATAAATAAATCCCACACAGCTTCTCCTAACAAACCCCTATTATATTTTCCTCTACTGTGGTTGTACTCACATTGCAAACAGGAAACAACCCTGTTGGGACATTATATACACATATGTATCCGTAAATAAGACTGCTAGCAGATTAGGAAAAAATTCCATCCAAGACAATACTAACTACAAGCTGAGTTCAAGTAAAAGAAAGCCTCAAGTTTCTGCACACTAATTTATAAACTAATGAAAAGAAATAACTTCTCTCTGCTAATGCCTACCTCAGGGTCAAGATCATCCAAAACTGTTTCCAGCTGTTTCAGTTCTTCTTCGGACAGCTTGCCGAGAATGTCATCCTCATCAAGATCTTTGTACTTGTCCAAGTCTTTTCGAAATGGGAGTGTCATGACTTGGGCAGTAGCAAGTTGCTCAAATGCTTCAGAACCTGAGTCTTACTCTTAACCAGATCTATAAAGGGAGAAAAGATTTTGAAATAAATAGCCATAATTAAGGTAAATATCCCAACTAAAAAGCATATTCAGCTTATAAATGCATTTCTGAAAGGGAAGTTGTTAATCCCTTATTCATATTGATCTGCTGCTCTATGAAAGACACTGAGGGCTTGGAAGCCTCGCTTCTTCCCTGAGCAGAATCCCACTCTGCAATGCCTTCTTCTCCCATCACATCAACAGCTAAAACAACACAGAAGCAAGCTAAACATCTTTTAAGATCCACGTCCGTACCTAATTCTCTTGAGAACTCCAAAGCTGTATTTCCCAAAGAGCAGGGCAGGATGTGGAGGGGAAGGAGACAACAGTTATGCTCCGATTAATAAGCCCAGCTTAATGCCACCAGTTTTTACAGATACTCAGTCAAAAAAGCAGCTAAGATGTTTCATACTTGCTGCTGCTGCTGCTGTTTGAAGCCAGTAAAGGAGTACGTCAATACAAACAAGATATTTGGTTATTAATGACTCATATCCTTGCCTATTACTTACAGGGGAAGCAGAGGATGTTTATTAATTATATCACTGCAACTGAAGTACCCTCCTGTTCTGTCAGATGAAAATTAAAGCACCTTGATGCAAAGCTTAGGGAACACAATGTCTGTGTAACAGTCCACTCAGTCCCACTGGCGAAAGGACATAACAGGCTGTGTAATTGCTCCCTATATTACATCTGGAAGAAATCTGGGTCCTTCTGCAGTACTTCTTACATCCTAAGAAAACACAGGCAACCTTTGATCTAAACGCTTGAGCATTTGATTAGGAACAAAATGTACAGTTAATCACAGTGATTTTTAAGCAGACAACCTATTTTTCTCTTATTTTCTCCAAGAACTTTCAGGATTCTGCTGTTGCTCTGCAAAATTCATGCTTCGAGTTGAACGTGCAGGCACACACAAAAAGGGGAACTTGAATGTCTCCCTGTGAACAACAGCATCCTTAATGCATTTGGGAGCTAAAGCAAAATCCATACATCTTAGCTAATGAGCATCTGACTCCTTTCTCAGCTCTATAGAAATACAAAGCAAATAAATCAGGCATTCAGCAAACACTGTTTGTTCTATGAAGCCCAAGTTCCAGTTCAGATGATCACATCACATATAATAACTACGTTAATTCAAACCTGGACTTACTCTGTACTTCAAAAGCAGATGAACAAAGTTATTACCTCTTAAGTAAAAGGGCCATATAGCTATGCTATACCGAGGGACCGGGCTTACTGGATTCCTTCTCCTCACTTGTTTACACCCAGAAAGGTCTCTCTCTGAATGCTGGCAGTGTCACAGACATTGGGATATTTTAATTCAGAGACACTGAACAGAGCTGAGCACACAAAGGTTCACCCAGGCTGTTGGGCTGTTTTACCTGTAAAGTCTATCTGGCTTTAACAGGACTGGTAAATTTCCAGCTCCCACCAACGCAAGCTATTTACATTTACAGCTATTTTCAACAAAACAAAACACATTGCTAATACACACTATAATTTGCTCATAAACCATGGTGTTGACATTGATAGGATAACTCCAAGGCTGAGCTACCAACACAGAACAAGATCTCTTGAAAATAACAGCAACCAGGAGGAATTCTCAACCTTGTTACATCGAGAGAATGGTGGCTGGCTTCCCTGGATCTAAAGCCAATGGCACTGGGAGAGCTTGGGCCTTTCACAAGAGGCCACAGAGCTGAGAGCATCAGATACAGAATTTAACAGCTACAGAAGTACAGAGCAGCACACCTATGCTTTTCAAAAGTAACCAGAGAAGCATCTCTCCTGGCTGTTGCACCACATCTGACAGCCCTACGGTGTTTGCTTCTGGAGCTGCACGACAGCTGAAGAACAACTAGATTGCTGCTGCAGCACATGCCACACAATCTGCATGCAAACTTCTCATTCCTAAAGCCTTACTGCTTTCCTCTGCTGCACAATTTAAAGCATTAAACACTATCATAAGGGAAAAACATTTCCTGCAGCCACTTACACAGCATTGTTTGTGACCAGGCTGCACAGCCCAAGTCCTCAGTCAACGTGCTGCCATTTCTGCATGGCCATTTGCATCCAAATATTAAAAGGTGTAATTTCAACTGGTAATTACAAGGAGCACACTAATTAGCATGCTGCACAGTAATGCTCCCCTTACTCTGACCAAGAGTAACACTGCACAACCATACATTGCATCCAGGCAGGCTGTGTTTCCTCTCTATAAATAGCTGCAAAATGCCATCACTCAGAATTAATTACCTTCTATTTACTGGATTTACATCTTTCACATTGGAAAATGACTCATCCTTTGTAATTCATTAATGCCCGGGTCATAACCCATAGCTTCTTACTGTCTTTATAATATAATCAAAGTGTCCACTTCAAATCCTGGAACGTTCACACACACACACAAAAAAAAAGAAAAAGAGGAAAAAAAGCATTATAGCAAAAAACCGCGTTAATTTATAACAGAGGCTTCTCTTTAGCAGGAAGAGAACCACCTGTGACCTAGCAAATTCAAGGTGTTTTGGACACATTTTCTAATATCTGTCAAAGTATTTGCAATACGTATATATAAAATGCTAAAAATCAGGTTTTAAAGCATGGTGTCAGAATTCTCATTGCCTAAAAAGGACATGAAAGCCAGCCAAAGTCATCATCTGATCAAACCATCCCCTCCACCTCCCACCAAACACATCTGGTATTCTCACTTGCTTTCCATTATTCATGGTAACAGCACAGTTGAGAAAGACACTCATGTAAAAAAAAAATTACAGATTGTTAGAAGGGGCAGTTATTTGGACTGGGAATATTAATGGCACATAGCTGCAAAATAACCAGCAATAACCAGCAATTTGGGCTTTGCAAATACTTGGCACTTTTTGACGAGCAGCGCTGGTTTTTTGCTAAGTGTCCTTACAGCTTTACCACAGAAACATTACATACATAGAATGCCTGCAGGGCATATAACTATCATGTAGAGTAAGCACTTCATTCTAGCAACTTGATAGTCGTATAAGGAACATCCATCACTTCCAATCAAGCAAGTTTTAACTCGCTGCCTATTAGAGAAGATATATTGGAAGGGAAGACATTCTGATGAATCAATGAACAACTAAGGAAGTGAGAAGACAGTAATTACCTTATTTCAGGCCATTTTATAACAACCAGACTCATCCCTTGAAAGGCTATCAAGCAACTTCCATATACTCAATCTACAATTAAGATGTTTTTGTTCTCTTCTATCTAAAAGCATACTAAAAGCAAACAAATTTAAAAACAGTCACTCCCCAGTTTTCTTTGCAAACTTCTGTTATATGTAAGGACATCATTTCTTGGGATCCCAGCAGGAGTAAGTGTAGCAATATCTCACCTACAGGACACCAGCCCCGCTGAAGTCCTCTGTAAATGGTTTCTGTAACTTAGATTTTAAAACAGAAGTGACTTCAGGAACAATGAAGTGAGCTGGTTTTGGCCAACACGTCTACAGAACTGCCTAAAATCCCACTTGCTCCCTCAGATCCTCCTCCTCACACGCCCCTGCTGAAGCAGCGTGGCCACAGGTGGCATTTTCCAGGGGAATTTCCACTGTGGCAAAACTACACATTAACTACTGATGAACATGTTTTGCTCTTGAGTTATCTTTATGACCAAGCCAAAAAGACAAACGACTTTAACTAAACACTCCCACTCCAGCAAGCTCTTTAGGACAGTTTGCAACACCTGAGAACACTGTGGCCAGGCAGCACCACACCAGAAGGCTCCCAGACATCCCCGAGCCCTCCATGCACACTCAGCAAAGGGCAGGTGGACCTAGCACTGCAGCTGACATCCCCTGGCTGGGTGACACAGAGCCAGCAGGTGGCATCTCGCCTGTGCCTGCAGCTGTGCCTCCAGGAAGTGAAGGAGAGCTGTTCTGGGCTATTTTCCTACATAAATAAGCCTGAGGCTTCATTCTGCTCACACAATTTGCTCAGTTCTATATGGAGCAAAGAGCCCTCTCAAGTTCACGCATGTCAGTACAGCCACATGGGGACAGAGGTGAGCAGAGAGCAGTGCTGAATAACTGAAAGCACAATGAGGGATAGATATTTCCACGGCAAAGGAGATGGGAGACCATCTGCACTCCTGTTCAGTCCTGCTCCATCTCAGGGGGCACTCGGGATGCACACAAGATCCATGGTTATGTTCTGCACTCCTGTTCGGTTCCACAGCTGTGTGGAATTAAGGCTGTAAGCTTGCTAACAGGGGCCTACTCAATGCAGCCTACTCCTGCACACCTTGGGAAAACCTGTCACCCACTACAGGGCAGCAGATCCATGTCCTTGTTGGCCTATGCAATACCAGCGCTGGCAGCTGGGAACCAGGGGTGCCTGCCCAGCAGCTCACCACAGAGCTGAGGTGATGCCGTGTCAGCATGCCCACCTGCAGAACACCGCCAGACCTGCTCATCCAACTGGCTGCAGGGCAGGCGTTGCGATAAGAACCAAACAGAGGGCAGGGACAGGAGAATGGAGGGATAAGCACCTCGGAAGCATTCCAGAGAGGCCTGTTACATGCCGCATGCTGGCCAAACCTATCACCTATCATGGACATTCCTCCAGAAGAAATCTCAGCTCCAGGCGATCCCCGCTCACAGCACAGCACCACTGCTGCAGGAGCCTCTCACTGCAGCTTTTCGGCAACCCCTGGACTCTTCACCAGAGGCACTGACACACGACATTCACTCTCAGAGAAACTTCTACCGACCCTTCAATTAAAGGGAAACAAATCAACTATACAAGCTGTCTGAAGGAACATTCATACGTCTGTATCTACTAAAAAAAAGGTTACAAGACGTACAAGCCTACACCTTAACAGCAGAGGGATTCACACGTGCACGTTAACATTGCTTGTTTTCCTGCTGCCTTTCACCTCGAGCATCAGAGGTCGGCTTTCTGCACCCATCTATGGTATTTAACGCTTTAAAGCCCAGCAGCACGGCGCTCGCTACCGGAAGACCACCACGCCGAGCACCCCTCCGTCAGCCACCGGAAAAGCGTTCTTCCTCACCGAGTGCCGCTAACACGCGCTCCGTAAGCCGCAGAAGACGCGCGGCGATTTGACAGACGCAAGCTGACCGGACCCGCGGGCAGAGCTCCCGCCCCGCAGCTCCAGGACGGCACGGCCGAGCGGGGCAGCCCGCAGCGCACCGGGCCGAGCGGCACACGGCGCGGCGCCCCCAGGCCCCCAAACGGCCGCCCCGGGACCGCCCGGCTGAGAGGAGCGGCGGGAGCCGCCCAGCCGGGCCGGGGCGCGAGGGGAGCGAGCGGGCGGGCGCGGCTGGGAGCGGCGCGGGCCGCCGACGCCGGAGGTGGG